AAAAGATCAAGGAGGAGTGGCGGCCGAAGCAGCAGGTTGCTAAGCCTGCACGGAAGAAGGGTGGAGACCACTACGAGCTGGTCCCACCTCCTGCACCACGACCACCCTGGCCGTCCGGGTACTCACTCGCCTGCATCTTGCCATATGGCCATGTCGAGCTGACCGATGATGGTGGTCGCATCCGTCGGGTGCATGGCCACAACCTAAAACTGTACCTCAAGAGCGACGTGGATCCGCTCTTGGAGGAACCTGTTCCTGCGCCTACCTGAGTATCCACCATGGGCGTCGAGCTAAACGACGGTAAAGAACCTGTACCCCACCACGGTTTGACTTTCTTTCTTGTGTTTTGAGTCGGATTGTAAACCAGTTTGGTTTTGGTTTGTTTTCTTTTGTTTTGGATGATGTCTTATTGGGCTGACATTGGACCTAACATATTGTGTTTGAGCTCTTTGGTTTCCTCTAGCTGTGCTTGGCTTGATTGGTCCTCTCTCCAGTCCGCTTCTCTCCGACTGGTCCGCTTCCAGTCCCCTGCAGTCCGTGCATACCGGTAACATCGTTCCCCTTTCCCTTCCCTCTTCTCCATTGAGGGCAATGTCGATCTTAAGTGTGGGGGGATGTTTATCTTTAACTGCATTAGATCTGTTTGTGTGCTTGGAGCCTAGTCCACTGTCCAAATTTTTAAATTTGAGGGCTCCAAGTACGTGTTCCTTGCAATTGCCTGCTCAGTATGCTTTGAATTGACAGTCTTTATAGTAATATGCAACCTAGGGAGGTAGTGTAGCACTATGGAGGATGTTGATGCATTTAAGAAGTCTCATTGCTTCTTCATATTGTGTTGGTTGATTGAGTGAATTAGTGATCTTAGGACCCTTGAATTGTGTGGTGTTGTGGACTCTCTGCCTGTCATGGACTCTTGTTTCATGTTTTGAGTTTAACAGGTGCTCGAAAATGTGCTTTAAAATAACGTCTCCCGTGCAAATAGGGCGAAAGTGTGTAAGGGGAGACGGGAATTCGTTCCCAATTTCCACCTACTACCTCCAGCCCCCTTACATGTCTTTCCCCCGCACGAGGCTCGAGACATCCGCTCCTGGCATGGCCGGTAAGAGCAGGTTGGGACCCTTGGAAAAAAAATATAATAAAATAACAGAAAACAAGCAGAATAGAAAGAAAAGGGGTTCCAACCATCTTCAAAAAGAAAATAGAGCACCTTGAAAAATGTGAGTCCATGATCCTTTGTTTTTGAGAATCTCTTCATCCACAATTCATTTGTCCTCTGTTCACTATTTGCCATGATGCCGACTCGATATTAGTGCTCTCGCCGAAGAAGCTATGAGATGACTTGTGCGTCGGTTGACCTCGTAAGCTGCTAAATGATCTAGGAAGTCCTCTACCTACGATCTGGGTTGTTTGTTGCTATAGAGGTCTGGAGAGTTGCATTGGTTTGAGTTAGGTTTGCTTGGGGACAAGCAAACGGTTAAGTGTGGGGGAGTTTGATAGACCGTTAGTTACACATGTTTTCACCCCTGTTCTTACACGGTTTGAGATGTGGTTTCTCGTGTTTTAGACCGATTTTACGCTAGGTTTTGCTTGTTTGTGATATTTCAGGTCCTGGCAAGTGAATGAAGGTTTAGGAGCGAGTTCGGGGTCGATTGGGCGAAGATCGGGTGCGAGGCAAGTCACAAAGAAAGTCGCACGGGCACACCCACAACCCACACGGCCGTGCAAGTGACCAGTTTGGCCGTGTGAGATTGTGCGAGAGCAAACACGGGCAGAGCAGAAAATCCACACGGCCGTGTGAGGATGCATTTTGGCCGTGTGGAATTCTGCGAGAGCAAACACGGGCAGAATGGAAATTTCACACGGCCGTGCGACCCTGGCCGTGCAAGAAGCCTGAAATTCAACTAATTGATACGCTGCGTTTTGACTCGCACGGGCAACTGGGTGGGCCACACGGCCGTGCAGCCTGCCCGTGTGAGTCGGGATTTTCTGCTTTTAAGCAGATTTCCAGCCACAAGTCGAGGGGATTCGAGTTTTAGAGAGACAGAGCGATTCCTAGAGAGAGAAAGTGACGAACAAGAGTCTCCAAGTGCCCTAGATTGATCTTCATCACCATTGGAGGCCAGTTTGAGCTTGGAGAAGTGCCAATCAACGTCCAGGAGCAGGAATCCATCCTTCACAGTATGAATTCCGCGTCTGATTCTGCTTTTGCTTCTTTCTCTATGGAGTAGTTCTCCCATTCATCTGGGTATGGAGAACCCTAGATTTGTATGTTAGGCTTTGATTGTATGAACCCAAGTACTGATTCTATGATTTGATTATATTCGATTGAGGTTTGAATGATTGAATGACTTGAATCCTGATCAAATTCCTGTTGTTTCTGCTTTGACCTAGAATGAGAATATCTGCCTAGGTTGATAGAGCATCCTTGATTGAAGGTAGGGAGTTGGTGACTCTAGGCGAGGAGCCAACTCACTATTTTGTACCGGATTTACTCCGGTAGTGGAGGTTTTGTTTGTTAAGGCCTCAATCTGTTTACTCCGGTGGAGGTTAGTCGTCCGCTAGAGACTCAGATTGAGAGGGTCTGAATACCTTTAGTCGAGACTTCAGGCTGTTTAAGAACCTTCCGCAGTATAACTATCATAGAAACTGAACTTGGTAATTACAATCCGGCTTAACTGCAGTCTAGGGGGAACCATATCCGGGTGACCTCTCTTAACCTGTATACAACCGTTTACTTGCTTTGTTTGGTAGTTTAGACTTGCATTCCAGTTTCATTGCTAGATAACAAGAATTCACTGAGTAGTCATCAAATCTAGGACCCGGGTTGATAATTAAACCTAAACCCGCTATACTACGCTTTAGGAAGTGGTTACACTTGGCCAATTCCTAGGGTGACAGTAGAAGTGAGTCACTGAGCTTGTGTATCGATTGAATAGTCCCTTCAATCGTGGTCGAGCAACTAACCTTTTATACCATACGAGCTTTCCTAGGTGTGAAATTGTTCGTTGGTTCCGTTTTATCCCAAGTTCGTATTAAGAGCGCTTCGTTCTTGATTCGAGCTCAATCGATTATTTGATTGAGTCGTTTGCTGCGTTACTTTGGTAAAAATACACCCCCCAGGGTCGTATTAAGAAACAACCAAATTAGTGATATGCGCTACACAACGCATATGTAGGTATCTCCCCCCTGATATGTTGGTCCCCCATTCTTCAAATTTCTCCCTCATATGACGAACTGCTACGTCATTAGGCGATGCATTATCAACTGTGAAACATAGGGCATTCTTCAAATCCCACTCATTCAAACATGTCATCACCTCGTGGGCAATGTCCTCCCCTTTATGACTAGTTATCTTCTTGAAGCATATGATCCTCTTATGGAGATGCCAACTTCTGGAGATGAAATGTGTCGTGATAGTTATGTAATTATCGTTCTTCAACTGTTGATGCCAAGCTCCGAGGAGCCTGCTTCAATGTGTTTGAGGTCCGGTGAGCGTCGAACTTCCTGGACAACGTCCGCCGCCACCTGCCTCCGAGATGGACACCTGCAAAAGAGGAACCCGTCGGCCGGTGGTCGGCGGGGACCTGCTCCGAAGCTCAAGTCAGTATTGAGAGGAGAGCAACCCGGAGCGGCATAGTAAGCCGGCTCTAGAGAGAGATTCAGAGTTTTATCTAAAATGAGCTGCCCATAAAGCATAAATGAGCGTCCTATTTATAGGTGCCTCCTACTTCTGGCGTCGATGGCGTGAAATGAATAATAAAATAAATATAATATATTTACCACGCAACCAACACTAGCTGCATGTCCATGTGGAGGTTGCCACGTATTTCATGGGAAAATCATAGCTAGGATGGATGAATATTGGTTGGCTTCTTCACGTGTAAATGAATGTGAAAAATGAGTGGTGGCTTGTTATCAAGTGGAGAGGTGGAAGAAGAAAGTCATTTGTGTAGGGGAAATGAAGCAAATAAATCATTCTTGTCTTTCTCCCTTGAAGCCACGTGGATGAAATAGAAATGAGGGTTTACCTTGTGTTAACTTGCTTAATTGGGATGAATAACAAACAATTAAATGTGACCAACTAACCAAAATTACCTTCTTCCACGTGGGTGTATTTACTGGAAATGGGTTTGGGGTCTTTGATGGGAGAAAAGGAACCAACCAATTAAAAAGTCAATTGATTGAGAAGGTAATTAAACATCCTTAATCCTTCCACATAAAGGGATTTATTTGCATACATTTTATTCATATGTACGGGTTGAAAGAAGGTGAAATTCTGGGTCCATCATCAACTATGTCCAACAATCCGTTGTGATTGAAACCCACACCGTGCCTCTATCTTCGAAGAAGGACTTCAAGCCATCTTTTCGCTGAAGAAACAACTTTGCACAATCTGTCCTCACTGTCTTCCTACTTGGAATTTTGAACATAGGGCAAACACGAGCCATGAAATGACGAAAGCCCTCCCTTTCACAAAATTTGAAAGGTTGTTCGTCAAGCATAATCATTTCTGAAAAAGCTAGCCGTGAGTCTTCTTGATTGAATCGCCAAGCTGATATCTCGCCTAGTCCGTGGAGGAACCAGCTTGGAAACTCATATTTGTTTGTTGTAGCAGCTCCAAATGTTTCTTCTCACAAGAGGCCTTATGGTTCTTCAAGCCATTTGTGCCATGGGTGTTCGCGACAGAAATTATAGTTCCACAACGATTATATTTTCCTTTCTGAACCTCAACTGGTGGATTTCCTTCTATAGTAAATAACACTGTGAATCCAAACCAATGTGGTGATCGGAGGCTAGATGCTTTCCCCTTTCTAGAATCCGACCCAATCGATGGTTCTTCATTAACCACAACATTACTTGCTTGTTGAGTTTGAGGTACTTCGGAGACGGGTACATGCTCTTGACTAGCCATCGAATATCACATAACTTGGGAATAAACATCACAATGAGATAAGCAAGAAGGTTAACCTAGGAATAACCTGCTAACAATCAGCCAAACCCCCAAATAATTCATTCGTCTTTGTTAACTTCTCAAACATAAAAACAATTAAGGAAAGGCTCATCCTAAAACTTTCCAACAAATAAAGAGCAGCCATCCAGGGATATAAGATTCATGGTTCCACTATGATTCAGTGGTTGAGGGCTAACCTCTGTATTAGCTCGAAAATGAATTGAACAATCCAACTAACCCAAAAACAAACTGAACAATTCAGAAGCTATGTTATGGCTGCCAGCGTCGGGGGCGACGGAGAAGGATCTCCAAAGTCGTTGTCGCCGTCGCCAAAGGAGAGGATTCGACTATTCGTTCGTCTCGTCTGCTTCCGAGGGAGATCCAGAGGAGAAGAGCGGCCGACGGGCGATGGCGTTGGGTGTCGAGCTGAGATATAAAGGAGAGGAGCGGTCGGCGGCGTCATTATTTGTCTTGCTCTAGGTCTGCTGGGCGGCCGCGAAGGAGAGGTTTTTCATGACTCACGAGTCGTCCACGAGCTGACAAGCGAAGAGAGGTGAGTATCAGATTAATACCTACCTTGAAGACGACACACGCAAACTTGGCCACCGTGATGCTTCCTCTCTTTTGAACTCAGCGGCCTGAAGCAGCAGACAATTACTTTGGAGATCTGCTTCTTCGGTGATGGAGACGCTTCGTTATCATGATCATTGACATTTGCTCTAGGTCTGCTGGGCAGTCGCCGCCGAGTGAGGTAAAGAAAGGAGATAAGCCAGGCCAGTCCAGTCTGAGAACGAAGAGAGGAAATGGGCCTGGACGGACGCCTCACGCCTGGGCTCGGGTTGCTAGGCTGGGCTCGGGTGCATGGATTGGTAGAAATGAATTTTGGGTAGCTAATGTGCATTGGGTAAAATGGGTACCCGTTATACCCAAACGGGTATAAACGGGTAACCCGCAGGTACCCGCTTTTGAAATTACCAATCCCAAATCCCATCCCGCAATTATAAAAGGGATATTTGGGTACCCGTTACCCTAAAAAAACGGGACGGGTATGAGTATACCCAAATATCTGTTTTCCGTTGCCCACCCCTATTCGTGGCCTAAATTATCTGACATATGCCTTCACCGTCTATTTTCCCAAATGTTCTGTAACATACCTTTGTCATTCTGAATATTTTACTGAATTATGACAAGAAAAACATCATATTGGCTAAGTTGTGAAATTATGCAGCTCGGTTATTCATTCTTAACTTGCATCTTAGTACAAGTATCTCCATTTTAGTTTCTTGATATTAATCTTTTCATTATTCTAAATTTCTATACAAACTATCGTGCCAATTAAAAAAAATTATTAGTAACTCTTTCACTTTATAGTGTTCCAAAATATATCAAAGTGGATATCATTTTGAAGAGCACAATTAATCTGGTCTAACTGTGCAAAAAAAAAATCCGATTTAAAACGAGTGAGAAATCGTCCGTAAAAAATTAAGAGAAGAAAAATTTTAAAAATTTCAAGAAGAGAGAATGATGCGCTGATGTGGCGCATTTTTATTGAGTTATGCATGGTATTATAGCACCCCCGAGATTGCTCGGTGGATCCGCTCCCCTAGTTCTATTTAAACGTATAGAGGGTAATTATCATAAATGGTCACAAAACTATTTACTTAGTACAAAATGGTCACAAACCTTTAATTTTGTACGTTTCAGTAAAAAAAGTTTGAGTGAATTTCAAAAAGGTCATTCCGTCTATTCCCATCCAAAAATCTGTTACTTTCGCTTGGTCAGCATGCCACGGCACTACAAATATTAATAAAAAACAATTGAAAATTGAATTGACCTAATCGGTTCCCAACTCAAAACAAGTGAGACAATGTCCGTAAAAAATTAAGAGAAGAAAAATTAAAAAATTTCAAGAAGAGAGAATGAGGCACTGATGTGGCGCATTTTTATTGAGTTATGCATGGTATTATAGCACCCCCAAGATTACTCGATGGATCTGCTCCCCTAGTTCTAATTAAACGTATAGAGGGTAATTATCATAAATGGTCACAAAAATATTTACTTAGTACACAATGGTCACAAACCTTTAATTTTGTACGTTTCAGTAAAAAAAGTTTGAGCGAATTTCAAAAAGGTCATTCCGTCTATTCCCATTCAAAAATATGTTACTTTCGGTTGGTCAGCAAGCCACGTCACTACAAATATTAATAAAAAAACAATTGAAAATTGAATTGACCTAATCGGTTCCCAATTCAAAACTCATCTGATCCATTCGAGCAACTCGACGTCGCCCCCAAGATCACCTCCATCGCCCTCGCCACCCGCGTCTCCTCCCTCGATCGAGGCCGAATCCGCCTCCCTCCGCGACCAGCTCGCAGATTGCGACAATCTCATCTCCGACCTCCATTCCCATATTCAATCCCTCGTCGCCTCTCTCTCCGCTGCCCACGACTAGCTCTCCTTCGCCGACCAAGAAAAGGTTTTCTATTTCTTTCCCTCGCTCGAATTGTGGCTCACCGAAGCTATTCAAGAACAACCTCCCCAGGATCATATATAACCATATCCCCAGCTTGGAATTGCTCTTCTTTATTACCATTTGCCTCTTCTTCCTCCGCTTCGCCACTTTCGCGTTGTTCCCGGAAGATTGTCAGGACCTGTTGCCGCCGCAAAAACCTTCATCGGTGAAACAAAACGTACCAAACACCCTGGTTGTTCATGAAACAATCTACGCCCATGGAACATGACATATGCTTCCCGACCTTCTCCACCTGAATATATGTCGTCCAATTATCAATCTCATCTTATATCCCCCGCCAATCTCAAATCCCCTGCATACCCGTCCCGAATGTCCCGATCATCACATCTGCCACCTCTAAGTCACACAACCATAAGGGAGAATCCGCCCAGACAAAGTGAAAACAAAATCGAATTTGGTTCCATTCCGGGGGAGGTGACGATCCAGTAAAGAGGGAAGTAATGGATTGGAAAATCTCAGAGCGGCGGCGGCGAGTCCGTCTCCCCAAATTGGGGTTAGTGGGCTAGGGATTCTAAGGGGTGGGTATTATTTATTAATTATTAGTGTACAAGTGGGTTTGAGTTGGAACTCGGTTCGGTAAATTCATTTGTTTAATTGGTTTTATTTATTAATATTTGGAGTGACGTGGCATGCTGACTGGACGTGAGTAACGGATTTTTGGACGGAGTTGAACGGAATGATCGTTTTGAAATTCGTTTAAACTTTTATTACTGAAACTTGCAAAATTAAAGATTTGTGACCGTTTTGTACTAAGTGATTAGTTTTGTGACCGTTTTGTACTAAGTGATTAGTTTTGTGACCATTTATAATAATTAGCCAACGTATAGACGAGCTGAGGCCCGCGAGGAGCAATTTCGGTATGGTACACACAGAGATATCTGTGTGCACCAACTCACAGCCTAGGGAGAGGGCCACGTCGCCCAAGCCAGAAAAGGACGGCCAGGATTGAGCGGCTGGGACACGTGCTCAAGAAAGGGGATGAGTCATTCTTCAGCTGTGGGGAAGCCGAGCTGAAGGTGGTGGTGGGGCCGACGAGTGAGAGATGGGTGAGGTCTGGGCCAATTTTTTGGTGTTTTGGCGGGATTGATGGCGAAAAAGCCAGCCCCAAAAAACCCTTTCATTAATTCCACCCACCTACCAAACTCTCTCTATCATTCACTCCGCCTTGCCGCCATTGAAGACGAGCATCGAGAGAAAAACGCAAGAAGGGGCGTTCTGGTCTGGTGCAAGATCGATCTTTCGAAGAGAAGAAGGAGATGCAAGAAAGGGAAGATAGTGTGTCGAAGCAGAAGATGGGGGATGATGTCGAAGGAAATGTCGCACCAAAAGAGGAGGTCCACCTTGAAGATCTGTCGACTGAAAACAATAAAGGTTATGTCGAAGGAGACAGACCAGAAGATGAGGACCTTGCTGATACCATCCTCAAAGCGGATGGTTCATCTGATGGTTTGTGGGGCTCTCAAGAGTGGATGGCCGCAGTTGATGAAATAGAAGGGGGTATGTGAAGACCAAAAAAACAGATCAGATCCATTTAGACTTATATATGTTTTGGTTGTTGATCACCATTGAATGTGTTAGGTGTGTTAGGGTTTATATTTATGGTGCTTGCATTTATTATGTCTTAGGGTTTCTTGCATGGTGTTCTGTGCTTGCATGAATACTTGGTCGTTCTATCCTGAATATCCCTGGTGGAGGAACAGAAACATGACTATCGCTTGCATGAATACTAGTTAGCCCTAATAACCATATTACTTTTTAAATTTTATGAATATTACTTTTACGTCATCGAATATTAGTTGGTACATATTCATCTTCAATATGCATCTTCAAAAGAATATTGAAGATGAATACGCTTCATCTTTATAAGAATATTTGTTCACCTTCTAATGAATACAAATTCATCTTCAAAAGAATATTGATTGACCTTTTAATGATATGCATTCATCTTTTAAAGAATATTTGTTTACATTCAAATTAATACGCCTTCATCTTTAGAAGAATATTCGTTGACATTCTAAGAATATTCATTGACATGCTAAGAAATATTCGCTGACATTCTAACGAATATTCGCTGAGATTGTAATGAATATTCGTTGTGATGGTCATGAATATTAGTTGAGATTGTAATGAATATTCGTTGTGATGGTCATGAATATTAGTTGAGATTGTAGTGAATATTTGTTGAGATTGTCATGAATACTAAGTGACCTTGTAATGAATATTCTTTGACATTGTTAAGAATATTTTTTGAGATTGTAATGAATACTACGCGATCTTGTATTGAATGCTTTTATTGGTTGGATTTGACTAATTGTATTCATTTGTGCAATTCCAATGACAGGCTATGCAGCACTAGAAGATGAGTGCTTAAGGAAGAACTTGCAATTCAATACAGTAGATGATTGCAAGAGCTTCTATTTAAGATATGGTCATGACCGAGGTTTTGGTGTTCGAGTATACAACGAACACACGAGGTTGTGCAAGAACAATAAGGGAGAGCAAGAGGAAAAGTATTGGTACCTTTACTATTGTTGCAACAAACAAGGCTTTTCGAAGGTGAGTACTAGAAATCCAAAGGTCATTAACAAACGACCGGAGGATAGTGTCATTGTTAAAACCCAGCGTAAAAGAAAAAGAAACGAGTTAAGGGTTGGGTGTACAACTCGTGTTTCCTTTCGGTGGGATATCGATAGGAATGCATTCGTGGTTAGTCATTTCAACAATATACACAATCATGAACTGCACGCAAAGGAGCATGCACAGTTTTTGAGGTCTAACAAAAGTGTTAGTGAGGCTGAAGGTCTGATGCTTGAAGCCAATGCAGATGTTGGTGTTAGTTTGAGCTCTTCTTACAAGCTACTTGCTATGTGTGCTGGTGGTTACGAAAATCTTAACTTCTCAAAGAATGACCAAAAGAACCATCTGAACAAGCAAAGACAGAAGAACATGGCACATGGTGAAGCAACTTTTTTGTTGGAGTACTTTCAGAAGCAAATGGAAATCAAACCTGGATTTTATTATTCCGTGAAAGTTGATTATGATGAGCAAGTTGCTAACATATTCTGGTCGGATGCCCAGATGCGGGCTGATTATAAATTGTTTGGTGACTCGATCTCTTTCGACACAACTTACCGTACAAACAAAGCCTATCGCCCATTGGGTACGTGTTTTCTTCTGTTGTTTGCATATAATTTTCTATTCAAATACATTGTGTGATAGTCATGATAGGTTGAATACTCTTCCGAATTTTTTGAATACTAGTCTGGAATGTATGAATATTACCATGGACGGTGACAATAATGAACTTATAAAAATGTGTTATGCAGGAATGTTTGTTGGTTTCAACCACCACCGACAGACTTGCATATTTGGGGCGTGTTTGTTGTATGAGGAGACTAGTGCATCTTTTGAGTGGCTGTTTGATGCGTTTCGTCGTTGCATGGATCAGAAGCTCCCAACCACCATCTTCATCGATCAGGATGCGGCTATGGCCAAAGCACTTCGTAATGAGTGGCTCGGTGTCTTCCATGCATTATGTACGTGGCACATTTTAATGAATGCGAAGAAGCATTTTAAGAAGGACAAGAATGTTTGGAAAAAGCTAAGCATTCACCTCACTTACTTATTCTACACAATTGATAGTGAGGTTGAATTCGACATTGCATGGAAGGACATGCTAGCTGAATGCTTCCCCGACAGTGACTTTGTGTATGGCGACCCATGATTGCAGTATCTGCTAGGATTTCGGAAAAAGTGGTCTTCATGTTGGCTTAGAAGTCAATTCACTGCTGGTATGTTGACAACACAGGCCAGCGAATCCTGTAATGCATCGGTGCGACATTTTCTGAAACCAAACCATCAACTAGATCAGTTTTTCATACATTTTAACAGGTGTGATGTTACTGTTTCCTGAAATACTACATACAATATTATTGAATATGCTCTGTAGTAGTCGTGAATATTACTTTGTATGTTTCCAATTGCAGTTTGGTAGAGGATAAAAGATACAAGGAGAGGACTCTTGACTTTGAATCCATTAATCAGGTTCCTGCCATCTCCTCGCCATTCAGCAAGATCCTCAAGCAAGCTGCTGAGATTTACACTCCTCGCATGTATAGAAGAGTGGAAGAACAGTATCAACAAATGGAAGGGTACGAATTGGAGCCGCACTCCAATGGTAGGGACGACGGATTTATTGGGTACACAACATTCTACACCAAAAATGACATCCGTTGGGATGAACGTGTTGTTTTCGTTGATGTGGCAAATGCACAGCTGGAATGTGGTTGTAGGTTGTTCAATTCTATGGGAATTATATGTCGCCACATCCTCAAGATGATGGTCCACCTTGGAAATTTCGGCAATCTCGCCATGAAAACCCTGCCAGAACATTTTATATTGAAGAGATGGACCATACATGCCAATAAGAAAGAGGTCGATGAATCCTCCACAAGTGGCAGGACGGATGAGGCTCCATACACTTCCAACATCGCAGGTAACACCACAGCATTGAGATATAGAGAAACCACTGCCATGTTGAATAAGCTTGCTACAAAACTGTCTGTTGCTGATGATGGAGTGTATGAGAAGTGGATGAAAGCACTATCTAAACTGTGCAAGTCGGCAGACCATGCCTTGTCCCGATCCATAACAAGTGAAACCGGTAAGCATCCAATCAGAATATTAATCACTGCTGCATTGAATATTACATAATTTACTACTGAATATGACTTGTCTTATATCAGGGGGATCTCAGCCATTAGATGGCCTGACCATGAAGCAAAAGGTTAATCCACGGAGTCATGGTCGTGAAAGGTACAGGTCCAGAAATGAGAAAGCACGCGGTAAGAAGAAGATTCAGTATGCCAAGCAACTAAAGGACTTGGAGATTCTGTCGCAAGTTCCTGAAACTCAACGTGGAAGTCAAAACATGGATGACGAAGAGGACCTCATGGATTTGCTTGCATCGTAGTTGGTTAGATATGTCTTTTTGGGAAACCAATTGTGATATGATTTGTTATACGATAACATATCATACTGCAATTGGTTGAACTAATATTCAGGTCCTTGCGAGCTTCTATTTAGCAACATGAAACGTTATTTTGTAGTAATATGCACATTCTTGTGAAGGCAAGGCATATTAATTTTTTGTAGAAATATTCAAATAACCCAGACTCATATTCATATAACCCAAACTCATATTCAAAAACAACATACACTAAAATTAAGCATATTCAAACTCATATTCAAACACATTCGAAGTCATATTCAACTAACCCAGAATCATATTCAATTAACCCATACTCATATTCAAATAAACCAAATAGAGATGTAGGTGGTAGGCAGATCGGCCGAGAAGTCATATGCAAAAGACGGAGTGGATGCCATAGCTTGGTAATCTTTACAAAGTCGATAGGTGCCATAGCGTGGCAACGTGGATGTGTGGGGTTGTATGTTCATCTGCCCTTGCGATGTAAACTTCTGCTGCAAATGGCATGTTGCAGCGAGCCCATATGAGAGCCTTTGCTTCTTGTCGGGTCTTCGTGCAAAACTCTTCCGGCGCCATTTGAACCAGCGACAGCGTGGCCTCATGATTGAACGTCATCTCGACGCGCGTACTGCCATATGCGCACTCGGCACGCAACTCATAATGCAGCCTAGCGTAAGATCGTGGTCATGTGTTGTCTTACATAGCTAATGGGAGGATAAATTGAATGTTTGAACAAAGTTCTTATGTGCTTACTCTGGGTATTCTGGTGTTGTCTTGCAAATGCCACAGCCATAGGTGAACGCAGTGATCTCCAACATGCAGCGATAGAGGTGCTTAACAAGAATAGCATTGTTCAGGGTTTTGGTCCCAAAAAATTACATAGTGTGGCAACATATTAAGTGTAAAAAAGAGTCTGGAAATGTACCTCATGACAATGCGCCTGAAGTGCCAGATCTTGTTGTAGTTCTCCTAGCGTTTTTCTCGCCGGGCGTTGGCCACGCAAGAATCTAACACGATGTCCAGTATCTTTGTCAATGTAAGTAACTGGCCTACGGTTGCCAACGAATCTAAAGTGCTGGTCGGAAATAAATGCAGCATACATTTTCAATGTAAAAGGTGTTAGGCAAACAAAGGAATAGAAACAATACTGCCAGTTAGATGTACCTATTAATGACAGATGCATGTTGGTGATTATATGAAGCAATGATCAGTCGACTTCCTGCTGAGGATTTGAATTCATAAGGAGCATCATCTTCGAACACAGCAGGGAGCCTAGTCACTATAGTGATCGTAGTTATCATGGGGAGACGGGATTCTGCACCCGGGGCATAGGTAAGATACTTTTGAACATCCGGGCCCGAGTAGTGCACAGTTGGCCTCGCTCCACTGTTTTTGTAAAAGACAGTGTTAGTGCTTAATGCGTACAAGGCATCAGCAACACAACTGGGTGTTAACGTATACCTGAGCAGCATAAGGGATTTGCATGTTCAAATGGAACAGAAGCAAATGGGTTGCTGAGGAAGCCACTGCATGGGAATTGAATACAACTGCGATTCTCCTGGATGTGCGTAAATGAGGAAAATTTGCTGAAAGACAATCGCACTAAAGCGGGCGCTGTGCGCATCGCAGCCCTGGCGGGGATGACCTGTACTCCACATATTTTATAAAGACAATCTATCTTTAGTTGCGGTCAAACGGAATCGATGTCATCTTCCTCAACGCATGCTTCAAGCAAATTTTCCTATGTAATAGGTGAAACCACGCAGTGAAAATACAGCAAAGTCAGGGTCGAAATAAAGTTGTGGGTGCAACGATGCATGAAACGATTTAGTTGGCAAACATACCTCTTTGTCTAGCCACAACATATGTAGTATTCACGTGCGCCATGTTTTGCCATCTTTATATTCCACCCATGTCTTAAGCAATCTAGCTATAAGTATTTCATCGTACCACCCGAGGTCAAGGAGACGAAATGGTGTGCATGCTACAATCGGATCTGTTGTACATGTGATAGGGAATAGATTTAGTGTGAGAGCACGATCTGCCTGTTGAATAGACCTTCTTAATACCAAAATCAAAAGATGCAAGGAAGGAAAGTGTATAACCTTGGGGATCAGTTGGCAGTTCGTAGTCGCGGTCCATGGAACTCTAGGGTTCACTGTTTATGCTGCTCGTGTGTGGATTTCACTATGGGGGAAGGGAGAAAGGAAGAAAGGGTTTCGGGACGGTGGAAGGGAGAAAAGAGAAGAAAGGGTTTGCCACAAAGATGGGTTTCGTGATGGGAGAAGGGAGAAAGGGAAGAAATGGTTTCGCGACGGTGGAAGGGAGAAAAGAGAAGAAAGGGTTTTCCACGATGATGGGTTTCTAATGGGAGAAGGGAGAAAGGGAAAAAGGGTTTCGGGATGGTGGAAGGGAGAAAAGAGAAGAAAGGGTTTGCCGCAAAGATGGGTTTCGTGATGGGAGAAGGGAGTGAGAAAGGGAACTGCAAAGGCGGGAGAGGAAATAGGTGACTGCACCAGTGTGGGTTTCGTAATGGGCCGCCACTGTAGATGGGCCTCTCATCTTGTGTGTTTACTTGACCAAGGCAGGCCAAAGACTACTTGGATCCAAGTAATATTCAATTAACCCAGACTCATATTCAAAAAATCTTAACTCATATTCAAACAAATTCAGACTCATATTCACAACAAGATTCGAACTCATATTCAAACACATTTGAACTCATATGCAAACACATTCGAACTCATATGCATAAACATTTTAACTCATATTCACTCACAATGAACTCATATTCATACACATTTCAACTCATATTCACTCACATTCGAACTCATATTCAGACCAATTCAGACTCATATTCATAAAACCAAGAGTCATATTCACAAATAATTAGGGGAGGTCGAACCCAATAATTACACCTCCATACATGACCTGCACCCCCAAAATAAATTCCCAAAAATAACGACTCAACCTGATTAGAACACCTAATTAGGGGAGGTCAAACCCAAAATAATTACACCTCCATACATGACTTGCACCCCAAAAATAATTTCCCACTGTCCCCCATAAATAATTACCCACAAATGTTTGTTTTTAGTACTTAGTTAGTAGGCTACCAACACTCACATCTTCTGTCTCTTACTACCTCCATCTTGCCCCTCCTTCCACTCTTTCACCCACTTCAGTATATCATCCCTCCTCAAATTCTTATCCCACAAAACCAGCCTCGCAGCAAGCAGTGCACGTTGCAGCTCAACGTGCTCTTGGGTTCGCCAAATGATTTTGTACGCAGCATCCAAGTGGCCTTCCCAATGCTCCATGTATTGGCAAGCGAATACCCCACAGGCGTCATTACCATTTTGTTGTGGTACGTCTGCAACATTGAACACCCATTCACTCAAGGGCGACTCCAGCAATACGCCCTTTCTCTCTAGCAATGTTTGCACATAGTTGAACAAGTTCCTCACCTCTGGTCCACGAACATTCTTGGCATAACTTTCTGAAGGCTTCATGCTGTCCAACAAGAACGTTTGTTGCTTGATGAAGTCCACAGCATAAACCAGGTAGTGGTCGTCGTCATATTATTTGGGAAAGAACATCTGTTACATTATAATAAAACCTGATTTAGTATTTAGCATAAGAACAAGTAATATTCATAAAACCCATAATAGTATTAGAATTACCCAGACTCATATTCTAACCCATAAATAGTTCACTCACATAATTGCATCCTTTAAAGTCGGCAGTTTCAAATACTGGATCTCGATCAAGTGTGGCAAAAGCCTCATCCAGGAGACTTGCAGTTATTGTTGCCCCACTCTTAAAATTTGCAGTTGCCTTGTCCTGTGATTGCATTGAAAACAAGAACTTGTGAAGAAATTGAAGAGCATGGTTATTCATGACATGCATTGAAAGTCTAATTTTACTTACAGCAAAAACCATAGGGAAGATGCATTTTGACAGCTTCCCATTCTTCGTGACATTCAGGTCGTTGAGGTAGTACCCAAATGCCTCAACAATGACACGATTCAGCCATATAGTACGTTTCCGCTTCCTGCTTCTTCTTTTTACGTGGCTTAGCCACCATCCAGTCACCATAAATCGCATCGGTTGACGGCTCTTTTTCAACTAGTTTCTCTTGTGCAACAGGTGGAGTCGGGCTAGATGCCTGTGCAGCTTGCTGTCGAAAGATGGTTGGACACGTGGTTTTGGCATGGCCATATTGGCCACATTCAGTGCAGATGTTATAAAGACCCTCGTACACGATATAGTACATATTTCCCTCAATCCAGTACTGCGATAACAAGGGCTTAGTAAGGTTGACCTCCACGCATACCCGAGCATATTGCGTACGTTCGCACGTCAGCGTTACACAGTCAACTCGAACAGGCTTTCCAATTCTCTGTGTTATGCGTTCCACTGCTTCTCTGTCAAAGAAATCGAGCAGTAAGTCTGGCAACCGAACCCAGACAAGGGTAGATGCCTCCTCCGCGAGTTTGGGATTAAACCCTTTCCTCCAATGACGCACCGTCAGGTAGTGTCCACCGATCATCCATGGTCCACCCGCGGCGGCTTGCTCGTAGTCAAACTGGCTCGTGAATCTCACCACGTAGAACCCATATGATAAGCTAGATATTTGTAAGCCGCCATGCTTACCCCATATTGTTTCTAGGCTCTTCGCTAGTACCGGGAATGGGAACGTACGACCGAGTACCTTCATAATCAAAGTTGAGCACCATTTCCGTCGATAACGTTGTTTCTCCATCGCGGTGAAAGGGATTGTAGGGCACCTAGGATTATCCTCGTCGGGGATATCATCATCCTGATCCGCCTCCCTCGTCTCTTCCGCGATGTCCTCCGAGTCCGACTCCGCGACGTACCAGGCGTCGCTAGCCAATAGCTCACTAAAGACTTCTTCCCCGTCCAGGCCGACTTTGGGGAGGGCTCCACAGGCGATCCACCGGACTCATCCGCCATAACTTCGTCCGCTCCAAACAGCTGCCCTGCACAGGAGGGTTTTGCTTTCTTCCTAGCCTGACGTGTCTTTTTTTCTGTCTGATTATTCGGCGACGAGGCACCGACGGGGGTGACGAGCCCCCAAGGACTGGTCCTGGGTTCGGCTAGCCAGGAGGATCTCCCCCGGCGCCGGCGAGGACATTGTCAAGCGAGTCGTCAACAGGGGTTTGCTCCGAGAAACGCGGAGGAAAGAACCCTAAAACCCGGCCCAGAATCAAAGCCCACGAAGTTTAGTTTCTTACCTCAGTCCTGCCAGGCATAATGGGCCTACCGACGAACATCTCAGCCAGCAAGCAACCAATGCTCCACAGATCAATCCCAACACCATAATCTGTTGCTCACGACAGCAGCTCCGGAGCTCTGTACCACAGAGTAACAACCCTCGTAGTGAGTGGCCGTTTCGGTTTCGGTTTCGGGACGTAGAAATTGGCCAGCCCAAAATCAGCAATCTTCAGCGTCCCATCTTTATCTATCAACAAGTTGGATCCCTTGATGTCTCTGTGCAGAATTCCCCTTTACCAGTCGCCCCCGCGACCTCTGCTCCGTCGGCCCACTGTTCGCCCCCTTTCTCTTCGTTTCCTTGCTGGCTGCCGCAAGATTTCGGTTGCACGGCTAACCGAGTAAAAAAACCGAAAACCGACGGTCGGTGGTCGGTTAGCCGTGTGCTCCAGGTCGGTCGGTTGTCGGATGCACTTGGGAGGTGGACAGTTAGCCGATAACCGAATTTTCGGTTTTCGGTTAAACCAAAACCGACCGACCTCCACCCCTACTCCAAGAGGCTAAACCAAATTAGAGAACCAATGCAATCTCTCCAAACCGATAATTTTGTACAGGTCCACTATACCTTGCGTGTTTAATTAACTGTTAATGTTTAAGTATACTAGCTCAGATATCATTGCCTTAAACTGTATAATCTCGCGTAACCTAGCTAGTTGTTGGGGTGATGCTTCAAAATGGATCTTATATCATTTCCTGATCCAATTATTGGGACCAAACGGTTTCATAACATGATATCAACATGTAATATGACTATAAGATGTGCTCATATCTCCACGACACTCGGTTGATTTAGCACGAGGTAGATTGTGCAAAGTTTAAACCCCATTAATTAGTTGAGTTTTGTTTGAGGAGACATGTTAATTAAGAAACAATATAAAATTCATTTTGAAATTTCTCATAACAATTCGAGTTATAAAAACAAAAAAGCAACTTAAAAGAACACACTACCTTACAAGCTTATCATAAGATTCATCACTTTTGGGGACCAAACTGGCCAACACATCTTTTGGGATATTGTTCACAAGCCACTTTGGCCATCCATCAACATAATCCTCCCCTCCGATCTTCTTCAACACAACCCTCTGAGACTTATTTCCTCCACCACGGCCGTCCTTCCCAACCGCGGCGGCGTCGGGCCGACCATTATTACTCCCCTTCTTGTCGTCATCGTTAATAATCTCCTCCAAAGGCTTCACTTGATCAAGACTTTGATAATGGCTGCCGCCTTTCTTCTTACTACTACTGCCGTTATGCCCATTCTCTGCCTTCAACTTGGACGGCGTTAACTTCCGCCGCTTGATGGATTGAATGCAACCCATGATGATGATGATGGTGGTGGTTGATGATTGGTCGCCGGTTCACCGGAGGTTATTTCTAGGTCAGTGGCATAGTAAGCAGTGATTTGAGATTTCGAGAGCATTAAGATGTGATGTTTAGAGAGAAAGAAAGGAGGATAGTGGAGATGTCCAGTTGGTGAGAAGTTGTGAAGCTAATGCATAAGGGAAGCCGTCCTTCGGGCGGCAATTATTTTGGTTGGGTTGGAGAGATATATAATAGAGAAGGTTCAATAAGATGACACAGGTGTAATCTCGCCTAGTAGAGGTGGCAATTTCAATCCAATCCACCAATCCAATCAATCAATCCATTAAAAATATCCACATATCCAATTCATTTAAATCCGATCCATTTTATCCAAATCCAATTGGATTGGTGGATTCATGGATTGGATCCATGGATCATTGGCAAATTACGGTTTAGTACCTATAATTTTTATTTTTTACATTTTGGTACCTAAAATTTAATTTTTTATACGAAAAATATCATTGGAAAATTACGTTTTGGTACCAAAAAATTTTCATTATGACATTTTAGTACCTAAACTTTTTACATTTTACATATTGGTCTTTGGTTGAGGATGTCATTTGGATTCATGGATAATCCACTAATCCACTTGATCCAATCCATGAATCCACCAATCCATTAGATCCAATCCATTTGATCCATGGATCCACCAATCCAATCTATTTGCCACCTCTATCGCCTAGTCCTTACTTTGTTTAGATGTTGTTTAAGCATGTGTAGACATTAGAAGAAAAAATATCAATTTGCATAATATGATAAATGAAATAATAGTTTGCAATACTTTCATATTTAAGTTCAATAATAACTTACTTAATTAATGATAAGAAAATTAGCTCACAACTACATAGAATCATAGTTTAATAGCTCACAAAGTTTTTTAGCAACTAAAAAAATATTAAAAATAGAAGATTTAGAGGTTGTTTGGTTTTGGTGATAGTTTGGTTGAGATTAGTGATGGCAATGGGATGGGGCGGGGTGGGTACCTCAATATCCATGTCCCGCCCCATGCTACTACGGGTCGGGACGGGTATTACCATGCGGGTATAGGGCGGGGTGTGTCAACCCACTCTCACATGTTATTTGGAGAAAAAAAAAACTAAACGCAAAATTTTATTTTTTACGATAAAAATAAGGGAAAACACTTTATGAATGAAAATAGTGATGATAAAATCGATAATTGAGTCTAACAAGTTGAAAGATCAAGTCTAACTAGTTGAAGAAAAGTCAAAATAGGAGAAATATGAATGAATATGGTAAGAAATTGAGATAGAATGGGCCAAGAAAGGGACGGTGCAGTGCAGTGCGGGTCGTAAGTAGATACCCACGCCTCGCCCAACGCTATTGCTGGTCGGAAGTAGATACCCACGCCCCGCCCCATGTTACTGCGGGTTACCCGGCTAACCGCGTTCAAATTGACATCCCTAGTTGAGATTGTTAAAATTCTTGTATTGTTCACTATACATCATTTTTTTTTTAATTTTATTCGTAAAAAATACATGCATTGCTTGCATGATGTGACACAAACTATAACTCAAAAGTCAAAACATTTTCACCTTTGATATTGAGTGTCTACCTCAATGTAATTATGACTAAGGGATACCTTGGTGTCTTCTTACTTCGTTAATATGTTTCTGATATCTAATTCGTTGTGAAATCTCTAGGCGAGACATTATGGTATTGTGTTAATTACATCTAGACGTACCTGGGAATAAGATTAAGCGAACATTTTTGAATCATGATAATAGCAAAGAGGGGAATTCTACGGTGTCGTGCCCGCACCAATGTCGTCACTTTCTACCAGTTATAGCCGGTTTTGGCTTTCCCTCGGCAGTGCTACGGAACAAAAGGAAAATATTTCCAAATTTTTTCTGAATTGTTATTTGTCGCCCTAAAATTTGAATTTTATCACCCTAAACTATGCCGAAATGACATATTCACCCTTAGTCCAATTCTAACCCTCCAAACCCGACGACCACCGTAGAGAAGAACTGCCCCCGTCGCCCCTCCATTCTCACATATGGCCAGAGAAAAATTAATTGTCGACGCCGCTTCTAATCCCCCTTCCATCCATTCCAACCCGATACCCTCACCCAATCCGCAGCTTCTATTGTTGCTCTGTTTTTGGCGGGCAGCTTCTGCTCTAACATCGCGGAGAAGAAGGAGAAGGAGGAAGAAGAAGCAAGTCGAAAGTTGCCTGCTGCTGCTTTGTTGCCGGGGAGAAGGAAGAAGAACCGTCCCCGCCGCTAGCTGCTATGTTGTCGTCGACAAAGAGAAGGAAAGCGGCCCTTGTTGACTCCTCAATCGATTCAGATTACATCAACTTTTAACAACTAGTCAAGCGCAAGCAAGAGTTGTAGAAGGGTTCCTCGGCCGATTCATTCTTCAGTCTTCTCATCTACAACTGAAAGGGTCCTCTGGGTAGATATATAGAAGTGGGAAGTCTGATATCTTTTGGTTCAAGTGTTCTTGGGATTTATTTTCTTCCCAATTTTTCTTCTTTTCATCTTTCAAACTTGCTCTAATTTCATTAGAAGATAGCATTCTGTAATTCCCATCAAAAGCAGCGATAATGACTGCAAAGTAGCCAATTTCCTTTTTTAATCTACAAGCATTCTCTTTTCGTTTGTAATCTGTTCATCCAATTCAAAACTCTTTATCATTCCTCAAATGTTCTCGTACGGTTGCCGGCGAGCTTCAACTCGTCCGACCCCAAAATATCATAAATAAATAAAAAAAGTCTTTTTTACCTTTTGCTCTTATTCACATAGCGATGATGATGACGATTGGACCTCCGACGAGGTAGTCGGGCATGGGTTTAAGTGTTTGAAAGACAAATAAATGAACAAGGATATTAAAGTAAATTTAACTTAATTAGGGCGACGAATAAAGAATTTTAGAGCGACGAATAGCAATGCCTTTTTTCATTCCCAACTAGCCAGAGCTACAGTAATCCTTTAAGTTATTATTATTATTTTTTAGATCCCTATAAAAATGAAGTTGCCAAAGTAAAGAAAGAAACCTCTTCTTTCTGTCTCCTCAAACATCAAAATCTACAACTGCCACTTTAATCCCCATGTCTATCCTTCTCTGCTATGATACAACAAAACAGGTCTCTCCCCTCCTGCGAATAAAGTATCCTACTACATAATCAGCCTTCTTCTACAATTCTTTCATAAAAGAGCAAGGTTGCCTCTGCAGCAAGGACATCCTCCTCCGAAACAATCGAGACCTGGGAATCCGAAATGCAGAACCAGTGAAGATGGGAAGGCTTGTCCTGGTTCCTGCTGCTGCATTCTTCTGGGGAATTGCAGCGTGCACTTCGGTAAACCGTGTAGTGCCCACCTCCTGGCCTCCCAAAGTGCTCCACTACAGAAACTAGGCGGTAGAGAGAAGACACCGAGGGAGACACCACATTCACCTGGTGTTGAAACATAAATGCACAGCAGAAGCAAATCTTGTGAAGTGAGATGGATGATGATTCAGACAGACCTTGCTAACCGTGAAAAAGAATATTTGCAATCTATACCAACTCTCAGGGTGTGTTTGGAAGTATATAAGGACTAAGATTCCAACAACTACATTGATGGACTTCAAATGACATATCCAGTCTATTACATTTGAATTTCAAATTCCTATCAACGGACAGGGATCGAGGTTGCAATCAACATTTAAGTGCGAGCCAGGATCCGAGTCGAAGTATGGATCAGGGTACTTTCCAGCAACTAGTACCAGCAAGCGTCAAATTAATTTCAGAAATCAATCTAAGTGAACTTTAGTAGACTCCAAAAAATCAGTCAAGCAGATTCTAGCAATCAGCTCAGTACATTCCATTGGACTCCAGTAACTTCTAGTTACATCCAGCTTAGGGTTGGGGTAAATATTAGCAACCAGACCATTACATACGTTTAGAACACTCTAAAAAGAAATATAGTTAATTCGAGTAAAATTCAGTAGATTCCAGTAAACTATAGTAAGGATTCTAGTAAATTTCGCTTTGACTCCAATAATTTTAAGCATGTTTGGGATTGGCTCCATGGCCGAGGTTAGAGCAGGGGGTAGCTATGATTGGAAGGGACTTGTTCCGGGGAGTAGCAAGTTGGGAGTCAGGTTACTCAAGAACTGAAATTATACATGTTGCTAAAATTAAAACTCAACATCAGTTAGCTTCACCACACAAACAAAATTTGCACTTGAATTAGATAGTCAGAACTTAAATCCAACAATTCAAAATTCATTTATCCAAACACACCCTAATGATATTTAACGCAGTTCGTAGAAGAGATGTAGAATGAAAAAATCATGAGTTAGGTTGTGTTTGTCATACCTTGTCTGCGGTTGGGAAGCCTGCATCAGTCTCCATGGTCTCCAAACTGACTTTGATCTCAACCGACTTGGCTTCTCCCATAATGGTCTGTAATTGCTCGGAGCATTCAAATTTATCTTCCACTAATGCTTCTTCGGCGGCTAAATCTTGGCCACTGATGCAAGCTGGCACTACCGTATCAAATTGCACATGAGGACTGCTCAAACGAGAGTATTGCTTTTGAGATTGCAGCCCTCTAAATGTGAATGGAAGCAGGTTCAGAACAAAGGGGAAACTGATATGGCCCTGAAACAAACACAATGAATTGAAGTATTGAACTTAAAAACTCTAATCAAGCAAACAAGTAAAAGTTGACACACTGGGCAATTCGAGTACCTGAAGTTTGATAGGCTCACCAAAGTGATTAGCCGAAGCACGTTGTAGATGAATGCATAGGATCTGGTTAACACTCATATAGTTAGCTTGCATAACTAGCATGAAGATTTAAAAGCCCTATTGCATTTATGTCACAACATAGATATTGAATGATGTATGGCATGCTAACGGATATAAGAAGATTTAGAGTCTGTACTTTGTACCTTTGGGCAACGGGCTATACTAAGTCGCTTCAAAGTCCGCGAGTAATTATTCGACCAAGGTAGATTGTCCAGATGAAAAGCCCTACGACAGGCACACGAATCTCTCTCAGTACATTTCATCAGCTTCTCAATGTCAGCCTGAAAAGCAATTTCAGGGAACTCATATTAATGGTCTAAAATGACATCACATTACAACTCGGAATCAAAGTGCTTGAATACCTCGGGGGCTCCTCTAACAATGAGATATTTTATTGCTGCAATGTGCCAACAATTTCCACAGTGGTAATTATCGAGTTGTTCCGAAGCTATAAACCGCTTCATGCAATCCTCTAGAGTACATCCAACGATCTATCCAGGATATTCCAGGAAATCAGGTGAGGTTCACATACTAGAATTGTACAAGGTGAATACTCGAGCAATCAACAACAAGAAGATCAACACTAATATGGGGCTCAATTATGCAGAATACCAAACACCGGAACCTTTGATTAACATACTATTGGTGCACCAAATCCAAGAACTGGCGAGAGGGGCAGACTATGGAAAAATTGAAAATTCAATGAAATCTGCAAAACAACAACAATGCAGCAAAAAATGGAGTTAAATATGACGATAAATAATAAGAATGAGAGAATAAGAACATTAAAAGTGACTTCAAGTATGAAATGTTCAGTAAGAGCATAATTAACCTGTGATGAGCAAGTTTGGCAGATTAATGTGCTGCTAAGAATACCATCGAATGGTCCAAGGAAGTGTTGCTGCCATCTTTCCTTTTCATTTTTTAGTTCATTAATTTTCGGAGTGATAATCCTGGAGTGAGCACTCTTGATAATCTCTGCCAGTGAGCTCTGGCTGGGAGGATAACAATCAGAAAATTCTTCTCTCAAAGAGGACAACAGGTGAAGGAATGCTTCTTCTGCATCCTAGAAAAGAAGATAATATCAGAACTCCAGCAACTAACCAACAGAACTTCCGCCAAGAATCAAAAGCCAAACACTTGCACCTGTTGGCTGGTAAGGTTGAAGTTCTGGATATACTGAGCCATCGCTATCATCACTTGCCGGGGACTTAACACCACTCTACCTTCTCCACATAAACATAATTCTAGGAAGCCAAAAAGAGTTCAGCCCAGAAAACAACTAAGTCAAAGCTTCCCTTACTTGCAATGTTAAAAGTTCATAATTGTCCAGCAAATTAGTGACAGAAAAAAGCAATCAAAATTAGTTCACATTAGCTATTGAACTACCTTCTAACAAAGAAGCCAAAGCAACTGTTAGCTGCAACCCCTCGCTCCAATCTTCACTGGCAGAGGATTCGCAATCTTCTATGATCTTTTGAAGGAATGGCTGAAAAAGAGAGCAACTTGCCAAAGCCTGAAGAACAATCAAACGTTCCCTAAGTGAAACCATAAATTCAACACCAAATTGAAGCGGGGAAAAAAAAAACTGAAACTTGAAGTACCCAGTTAGGGAAATTACCTGCAAGATCACATTAAGAAAGCAATTATTCCCCAAGTTCTGCAAACCAGGAACTAAGAGCACTTTCTCCCGGCCATCCTTGCCCTGACCCAACCAAGGTAACCCATTGCCCAATTTACGGTCCCTAATTAAGGCGACGGCCAACCCGGCGGCGGCCATCACGGCGGCAGCCAGTGGAATGGGGAACCCAGAAGCCGAAACCCACCTCATCTGAGTAGATAAGTACTTCCGAATCATTGGTTTTTGAATTATCCAGCTGCTTCCTATATTGAATTTCAGCAGGGCGGCGGGAAGTAGGCCGCTTTCGGGTTCAGAATCAGAGAGCCAGAGCGAACTGAAATCTTGGAGATAAAACTTTGCGGAACCCTCCGTCAAAGTGTCAAACCCTTATTACAATTTCGTTTTGCGGAAAGAAACGTTTCCACTGTCGTTACTTACGCGGGTAAAAAGAAAGAGAAAAACAATTACTGGCCGTTTGGTAATTGCACGGGTGGGTTTACAATTTTACATGAATGGTCCTTCAACTTTGGGGGTAATTACCTGTGATATCATCATGTCATCCATATTCTAAGTATTTTAGTATGTTAGATTTAATTTGATCTCGTTCAAACTCAATTTAGATTAACTTATTCATCATATTTAAGACGATTCATTAAGTTGAAATCAATTTGATCCAAATATCAATTGAGACAGAGGTCAAATCATTATTCATCCTTAATACTCTCATCATCTCACTAAAAATCATCGCCGCATCCATCCTCTGAGTCCATTGATTCACAATTCACACACTCCCACTTAATTTTACCAAGACATGAAATACCATCACAACAATTGCAATGAAACTCCAAGGGTGAAAGTGTCTTTGAGTTCATTACTCAACATCATCAATTTTGAGTTCATTACGGGTATGCGCACAAGTAGCGAAAAGGTGATCTCGATCTTCTTGACCTCCTGGGCACAATGCACACGAAACTTCATATGTCTTACACCACCCAACCAATTTGCATTTAGCGATGACTCTATCCAACACAATTAGCCAAACAACCAGATTATGCTTAGGGATAGAAAACTGACACCAGACTATCTTATGTCAGCTGACTTAAGGAAGAGAATCTTTAATATCATTTCAGACACATTTCATTGAATTGTTTTTATGGTGTGATCATTCCGACAAAGGGAATGAATGACCCATACCTATGGCTATGATAAATCTTCTAGCAGCTTGACGATACTTTAAGGTTCGCTTCCATATCCATGATCCAACTAAGGTTGGAGCAATCTCCCAAATGGTCATGTTATTCAATCTATATCTATGTATCTATGCTATCCAAAGCTAACCCTGTTGTGCCAAAATATTACAGATATGCCTGATCACACAAGCCTGATTCCATGAATTAAAATCTCAAATCCGTAGGTCACCCTCACCCTTAGGAGCTGCTACATATTTTCAAGCTATAGTGGCACTCATTTGTGTTCCAAATTCACCCACACCTTAGAGGAACTTGTTATAAAGATCCCCAACTAGGGCTGAAAATTGGCCCGACCCGCTCCTGACCCTGTCTGACCAGCCCCTGAAGGGTCAAGATGTATAATTGACCCGCCCCGACCCTGTTTCTTTCATGACCCTGTCTGACCCTTTAGGGTCGGGGCGGGTCAGGAAGGGTCGGGTCAGTGGGTCGACCCTAATAAATAAACTACTTTTCTAAAAATTACAATTTGGTACCCGAATTTATTTTTTCTTACATTTTAGTACCTAAATTTTATTATTTTACAAATAAGTCCCTAAAATTTGATTGTAAAATTACGTTTTGGTAAGCAAATTTTTTAATTTTTACAATTTAGTACCTAAACTTATAAAATTTTACAAATAGGTCCAACATGTTTGCATGATGCTAAGGGTCATAGGGTCAAAAAGTGACCCGACCCTAAATTGACCCGACCCTATCTGACCCTGACCCGACCCTAAGCCGACCCGACCCTAAATTGACCCTATAGACAAACTGACCCAGCCCGACCCTGCGGGTCAGTGGGTTTTAGGGGTCAAACTTACACCCATGTCCCCAACCGCTCACAGGACTTGTCGTGGAAGTAAAAATGGTTGCATCCAATTTACATAATGTTGGTGACCACCGAAGACACGAGCTAGAATTTTCCAGTATAATTGAGAAATCTAGCACCCTAACTTCGCAGCCTTTTTGTCATTCTGTCAATTATATTTTGACAATCCTTTTTGTAAGCCTACTTGAGATAAGGGGAGCCCCCTAATATCGTCAGAAAAAACACCCAATGGAAAACCAGTACATCAGAGATAACATTCTTCTCATCATCTGAAATTCCTCCATAGAATAATTTTAACTCTTGGATGGATGAAACTTAAGGTCAGATACACGATAAAACCCATCAATTAATCTTGTAATGTTAGCTACCACATAACCATTAGAAAATACTATCATATCATCATAAAAAACATAGATGTGTTATGTCAAGCTGCTTGCAAAGAGGATGATCGAAAATATGGTCTTCAGAGATTTCCTTAGAAAGTAAACAAGAGAATATCTCCATCGCAATGGTGAAAAGGTAGGAGAGAGAGGGTCCCCTTGCCTTAACCCCTTTTGTGCAAGGAAATATCCACGCGGTCTTCCATTGAGTGTCACATTTAACGTTGGAGTGGTTACAAAACTCCAAACTAAGTCAATAAATCTAGGAGGTGATCCCGTGGAAGCCATCACATTACACAAAAAAAAAAATCCAAATTAAACGAGTCAAGCGCCTTACTAGGTCTATCTTGACAAAATATCTAGTGGTGATGGAGGACTTATGATAATCTTTAACAAGATGAAATGTCATTAAGATATTATCAACTATTGATCTACCCTTAATAAATGCATATTGAGTAGGGCTAATGAGTTTCGGAAGAAATCTAGCAGGTATATTAGAAAGAATCTCAGAGATACGCACTCCACTTTCTCAACCTTAGAAATTAAGGCCACAATCATAGAGATTGCTTCTCGCAACATCTGACCAGTATGAAAGAAATGGAGAAATGCTTCTTCCACATCAGTCCCAATAACCTGCCAATTGTGCTTGTAGAACTCAACCAGATAACCATCAGGCCCTGAGGCCTTATCTGAGCTCATAATAAATAAAACCCTTTGTATTTCATTTCTAAAGACATGAGCCTCTAGCTCCTCGGCATCCTCTATCCCTAGCTTATATTTCAAGGTACCTTCAAAATAACTCACATGTCAAATCTATAATTCATGATCAGGTATCCCAAGCAATTTCTAATAGAAACTCAAGACCACTCTCCCCATTTCACGCATGTCAGTAGGGATGGCAATGGGTTGGATTGAGCGGGTTTTGCCAAATTCAAATCCATGGGTTTATTCGTATTAAAAAAAACCGAGGTAAAACCCACTGGGTTTGGAAAACTCAAACCCAACCCGCTGGGTATCCGCGGGTTCATGGGTACCCATGGGTTTTTGTGGTAAAAAAATTACAATAACAAGTTCTTATAAAAATAAAAGTCAAACATCAATTTCCCCATACAAATTATCCATATATAAAACACCGATCTAGAAAATTCAAACAAATCACAATTACACTAAATAAAAGCACACAATTCTTTGTTTTTTTCGTTCATTCTTTTTTTATTTGTGAGAGCGCAACAAACTAACAATCGTGATGTGTTCAACTTCAATAATTAATTTATCCCACACTTGTTTTGGGAAAAGGGAACAATACATTATCGGTTTGGAGAGAGTAGGGCGACGAAATAAGTGTGGGCCGGTACCCATTGGTCGGGTATCCCTCCTAAACCCAAAACGAACCCAGTGAAAAGTTGACGGGTTGAAACCCAAACCCGGCCGCAAACCCGTCAATACGTGTTTTACCCGCGTTGACCGGGTTAGATCGGGTAGGGTATCCGTGAGTTGGGTTTTGTTTCCATCCCTACATGTTAGTCACTACTGCACCTGAATCATCCATCACGCAATCTAACATTAGTTGCTTATTCCGCACTTTCACAGACTTGTGGAAAACGGATATATTAAGATCCCTTCCTTCACCCATTGAACACAAAAATTTTGCTGATAAAATGACTCCTCTGTAGCCTGTAATTCCTTAACAACGTTTTCATGGCAACTTCATTTCTAACATTATCATTAGTAGGATCCCGAAGAACTTTCAATTGCATTACTTCTTACTGAGAATATGCTTCCCTCGTACGTTCTTATTTAGGTTCGAAAGCCCATTCGTTAGGCATCTGAGCTTTTCATAGAACCCTTTAATTGGATGAGATGAAAATGATGCTACACATGTTGCCTTTAAATTCCTGATAACTCGGATGTGCTATTCAAAAATTGAAATATTTGAATGGTTTGGGACAAGATTGCTGCAAAGGAGAAGTTGAAACCAGAATTCCACAATGATCTTCAAGGTTGTCAAACCGGTTTATACCAGTGTGCCGGTTTAGCAAGTGGAATGGTTCAACCGGTGGCACATACCGGTTTGTGCCGGTTCATGCCGGTCAATATTACAAATAAAATTATAAATACTCATATTTAAACATGACATTTAACGTCAATACCTAAACATTTATACTTGAATCCAACAAATAACATCAATATTTAATTTTTATACTCATAAAAAAAAATTTATCAATTAAATTCTCTAAAATAATGTCATTTTACTTAGAGATTCGTATATCGATCATGCCGGTCATACCGGTGGTGTCATGCCGGTTTTATGACCGGTACCGGTTGAACCCGGTACAACCGGTGGCACGCCGGCCGGTGTGACAACCATGATCTTCATGGTATCTCTTCTGTGTTTGTCACCACTATCAAGAACTCCTCATCCCAACATTTTTTGTGAGGCTCTTCCTCTTCTCTTTGGCTTGCCTCTTTGCTAGCACCAAGCCAAACTATGCTCTGATACCACTTGTCACGCCCTTACTCTTGGTCGTGCGGCCCTAGTTCTCAATCTGTTAGAGATGCTAGGCAGCCTTATCTCAAATTCACAAGCTCATAAAGAAGGCAAAGATAGACAAAGGAAGTTTGAGAACTCTCTAGGTGTACTAGCTTTTTACCGGGCTCGTTGGCCGGAGAGATTTATTTTATAATTTATATGTTTAAATCATTTTGGATCTTCTAAATATTTTGTAACAGAGTCTGTAGTATGTCTATATTGAAATTTCCAATATTTAGCACACTCACTTGTGATGCTTCGGTTTTCGAATCATAAATTATGTCGCTGTCACGTCCCATTTAGAACTTATGTCAAAATTTGTCAACCAAAACACTAATATTTAGCGTACGCCAACCTAAACCACACACACATATATATAGTTCAAGCTAGCGTGTGCCAGGAGTACGTTAT